AAAAAAAAAAAAAAAAAAAAAAAAAAAAAAAAAAAAAAAAAAAATTACACGTGGACTTCTGAATAAAATTTTATTTTGTAATTAAATTATGAATTTGGCGCACCTGGCCGAGCACAGCCTTGGGAAACTTGGCTCTCACGGTATCTTCAAGCTCCTTCCCGAGCGGAGCTCCTCCAGATTTAATCATTCTGATCGACGACAAATCGTATTTCTCCAAGTCCGGCGACTTCGCAATGGCGAGAACAATCGGCGGCACAATCGGCGCAATTGAAACTCTGTATTTCTCCACCAATTGCAAAAGCGAACCAATCTCAAATTTAGGCATGATCAAAATCGTCGCACCGGCGCGCAACCCGCAGAGCAGAACCGAATTAAGCGAATAGATATGAAAAAGCGGCAAAACGCACAAAATCACATCGTCGTTTCTGTAGTACAGATTCGGATTTTCTCCATCCACTTGCTGAGCCACACTCGTCACTAATCCTTTATGTGTTAGCATCACTCCTTTCGGCAATCCGGTGGTTCCAGAGGAGTACGGCAGAGCAACAACGTCGTCGGGACTGATCTCCACCGCCGGAATCTCATGATCGCCTCCCTGGATTAAATCGGCGAACGATAAGCAACCTAGCGGCGGAGAATCGACGGTCATGATTTTAGCATCAGGTAATTGCTCTGTTATTTCCTTCACTTTCTCGTAATACGACGATTGCGTGATTGTCAATTTCGCCTTCGATCCTTTCGCTTGCTTTGCGATCTCTGCCGCAGTGAAGAAAGGATTCGCCGCCGTCATAATCGCGCCAAGGTACGACGCGCCGAGGAAAGCGAAGACGAATTCCGGTGAGTTCGGGAGGAGGAGCATGATCACATCGCCTTTTGCAATACCGAGTTTGTACAATCCGGAGGCGGCCTTGCGAGCGGCGAGGTCGACGTCGGAATAAGTGAAGGATTCACCAGTGACGGCATTGATTAGACAGGTCCGGTGGCCGATCTCTGCCATCTTTTCTTGAAGGCAGTACGAGTGCAGAGGTAGGTGCTTAGGGATGTAAATATCCGGCAATTTCGACCGGAAAATGATGTCGTGAACCGTTTCATTGGCCATTTCAATGGCGATGATTTTAGCTGATTGAAGAAGAAGAAGAAGAAGAACAGATGAACCTTTTCCGATTCACGTTTATCGTGTTCTTCTGAGTTCGACGACGGAAATTTTAGTTGAAGATATAATGAATTGTGTTGAAGATGGGACAAAAATTTGGGGGTTGGTGAAGGGAGTAAACGGGAATTTTGAAAATTTTTCTTGTCCAAATTTTCATTTTCTTGTTTTTCTTTCTTTCTTTAAATACTATATTACCTTTAATTTTACAAAATTTTTATTTTTATTCATTTTATCTTTTAAATTTGTAATAATTTTGAGCTTAAATTTATTTTTAAGATTTAATTAGACTCAATTCATTACAAATCTATCATATTTATAAATTATATAGTCTAACTTATTAAATAATAAAAGCTATTTAAGTCTTACTAAATGCTTCTAATCCTCATGCAATTCTTTTAATAATTACTTTTAAAACCTACTAATTTAGTAGGTGTAAAAAAAATATATTAATTTTTTTAATTATTGGAGCTTGACGTAGAGGTAACTTTTCATTTATTTAATTAATTAATGAGGTATTTCACTAGTGGACTTATTAGATATTACTACAATGAAACAATCAAAATAGCCAAAATTAAAATAAGAGAAAGTGTGCTGGAGAGAAATTACACATTAAAAAATCGATTAATATATATATATATATATTATTAATAATATCATAAAAATGTCTATTATACTTTATACTTTAAATTAATTAGTTGTATACCTCAAATACAAATTAAATAACCCTCTATACTATTTGGGTAAAATAAATCCGGCCAAAATAGCTTTATCCTCTCAACTCGAAGATTTTTAATATCATAACGAACATTTGATCTATTAATTAAAAAAATATATAATAGTAAATTAAGTTACGTTCGAGTTGAAAATGTCTAAATAAACGTCTAATTTCTTAATTGAAAATATACATTTTAACAAATAAAATTATGATGCAATTTTTTTTAGGGAAAAAAGTTGGTGAGAAAATGGGGTTGGTGAGGGTAGGTGTTTTAGGTGATGGTGGGGCCTACAAGGATAGGGTAATCGGTTGCCCCAACTTTTTCATAGTGCGTTTTAGCCCATAGCCTAAAAACCATTAATTTTTTTCATATAAAATATATAATTTTAATTTTGCTAATTTTGGGTTGAAACTTTGTGAAGCCCACTTCTGATTTGTTTTTATTTTATTTTATTCCAACGAAAAATAAATAATGAAAAAACAAAATGGTGGTGATTGTGTTATGTGGTCATGTTCAACCTACTACCAACCCATTGTTGGACCCTCCAATCAAATTTGGTCAATTAAAAATCCCGATCTCTTTATATTTAAACTTATTTTGATCGAATTTGCTTTAGATTATGCCCGTTTTTAATAATTAATGTCGTTTTGGCTAACAGAATGATAGAAGAAATATATATACACACGATATGACACATGACTCGACACGTTGTTGATATTACATTAAATCACATCAAATAAAATAGTGTCTGTATACTTGAAACACTTTTTTATCAGCCAAGAAGGAACCCGAGTGCTTAGTGCATGAATAAATTATATTTTATTTTATTTTCACAAATATTGGATGGAACGACGATCTGTAGCCTGGCCCAATTCGTAAATCAGAATTGGCCCATATTCCCGAGTTGGGCTTAATTCTGGGCCCAGAAACGGGTCTTGCAGTGTGACCATAGCTTTTACGAAAGTTGATCGCAAGTGTTTTTGTTTCAATATTCTCCACGATATTGGGTTAATCTATAATAAATTTTACTTTCGGTCGTAAAATACCTCCTAATTATATGATTAGGAGATTGAGATATTCAAACTTCTGATCTCTTAGTCGAGATTATATATCTTAACTAGTTGAATTATGTTCAAATTGATTATTTTATTTATTAAAAAAATATCTCCGTTCAAGTACAAATAATGTAAGTAATTTAACCATTTAATTTATGATATTTTTATGACAAAATCATCCCAACCCACATGCCAAAAAAGCTTAGCCACCCACCTAAATGGGAATTAAAAATAATTAATAAGTGTTACATGATCTCATTTTATAAGCTATGATGGACATTATTCAATAATATGATAATTAATAGTACTAAACAAATGAAACCAATGGTGAGTAGCCAACAAATTAATTGAATTTATTTATTTTATATATAATTCAATTTATAGTCTTTAAAACCCACCCTTTATTAGTGGTTGTATCATTGTATGAGATCAGGCTTAGCTAAGCCCTATTATTGAAATTTACTTTTGAATTCTTATATGAAATTTCCAAAACATGATCATTTTAAAAAAATTAAAAAATAAAAAACATATCGCATATTTAATAAACATGCTTATGGAGGGTAGCTTCGAATATTCACTTATTAATTTTTCAATATATTAATATTTCAAAAGGAAGAGTTGACCTGATTTAAAATTTAAAAAATTAATTATTTTTTTAATTTAAATTGTTACAAGGATTTATATGAAATAATTTTAAGTTGTTTTTTTTAATTAGATGGTAGGCCATAAGATGGCCACTATTATTTAATTTTTTTTTCTTAAAATATATTTTTTCAATAAAAGCTCACCACCAAGAGTTTTCTCCCATATTTTCTAATGTTTGGCAGCCAAAAATAGAAAATAATTAATTTATTTTATTTTTTGTTCCATTCTCTTGTGTTCTTCCAAGGAGGGGTCTAACATCAACTGGTGCAACAATAATAGCTACAACTTTTGAAATTTCCATTGTCCTTTGTTCGTAAATATCCTATTCGTTTTATAAATTCATCTCGATTTTAATGTTTATTCTTATTGTACCATGAAAAGTTTACTTTTGTACCAAATATAGCTATTCTATTATTCTATGTGCCAAAGAGGTTTGGTTTCGAATTCAACGCTAACCAGTGTTAGTCTCTTTAGTAACAAAATTTAGGGTACAATCAACTAGGTCGAAATAGACGTTGAATTGAACTAGGGATGTACATAGCTTAGGTTGAGAAATTTTTTTGAACCGACCCAAAAGTTCGAGTTGGTTGGATTAGCAATCCAACAAAACCGAACAAAACTTAACCCAACTCTTTATTTTTAGGTTGAAGTTTGAGTTGTTCAAACATATGCATAAAACACTATAATGACAATGTGTTCCTAAATGAATAGAACTCATAATAAAAACTTTAAAAGGAAAGGTTCGGATTGTTACTGTGTTTGAAGAGGAAGAATCGAAGAAGAACTCGTCGAACTCGAAAGCTAAATGTTCAACGCTGAAGTTTGAAGTTCGAAGGTAAGTGTTGTACTGATGTAGGAAGAAAGAAGAACAAGCACCGAAAGGTAATATCATGGTTTTTAATTTGTAATGTGACGTGAATTATATCAACCATACATAAAACTACACTTTTAGATAAGTCGTAAGCATTCAAAACAATACCGAACTAATTCAAACGGGACTAAATGAAAGAAAGAAAAAGAAGGATAATGGTACCTAATTCATTCTTAAATAGTAAGACTTGACAAAACTAGTCAATTTTAATTTATATTTTTTTAATAAAACAACCTAACCCTTAAATTGCCAACCAAATCATAGACTAAAAATTGGAAAATTTTCAAGTTTTGATTATAATTTCTCCTTTCTTTACCGACACAAATTTGTTTTCAAAATCAAATGATGTCATGTGGCATACCAAGCAAGTTGTTTCCTTCTTATTCTAGTTAGGCCACACTTTATTCTAATTTTCTTCTAATTTTCCAAATTAATATTTTAATTATTAGTCAATTTCTAAAATTAAAAATAATAATTTAACAATTATTATTTAAAAAATAAACTACTTGAATTTTGAAAATAAATAGCAAATAATATAAAAAAAATTCAAGCATGATACTAAATTATGACATATTTCTACATGTTCATGAGTTAGTTAATATGAGCTGACATTTTCATCGTATCCTATAAAAAAATTAAATTGTAATTAATGTAGAGATTTTAAAAATGATTGAGATTTGAATTCTATAGTAACAGTTTATTCTTTAATTTTTTTAAAATTAATATAAATGAATTAAAGGAAAATGTGGAAATTTTAATTCATGTAGATAAGTTTAGAACTAACCAAAGTGGATGAAATTTAAAACTTAGGTCTAATTTTAATTCATGTAGATAAGTTTAGAGATATATCTTATATTATAAGGTCCAGAATTAATGGAAATCCGAATAATAAAAGGAAGTGTATTTAATATATATTATTACCCATTAGAACACAAAATAAACAATTACAAATATATATTAAAATTATAAAAAATTTAATTATAGCTTCTGCTGGTCACGTGATGGTGGACTCCCCTTCAGACTATATTAACAACCCTCCATTATCATCGTTTTTCCATAGCTTTCTTCTCTCTCTAGAAAAAGGAACTGTAGGTGGTGGTCGGCCGGTGAGTCTGGCCGTGTTCGGTGATCGAGTGAGCGGCGGTGGGCGGCTCTGCAGGCGGAGGAGAAACAGGCATGGGTTTTTGGCATCAGATGATTCTTCCTGTACGCCGTGTTTGGCTCGCCGTTTACGGCCGTCTTAAAACTCGCAAAAATGGTTAGTCTTTTCCCCTTCTCTTAGTTTCTTCCCGTAACGTCGTCTTCCTCAATTTCAACCTCTTGCTTCGTCCGTACACTTCACTCCTCTCTAGTTTAAAATTCAATTTTGGTCTTTGTTTATTATTATTTGATTAAAAAAAATTGTTTTTTTAATACAATAAAAAATCCTTATTACGTAATTAATCTCATTAATTTTTTTCATTTATTTGTAACTTATTTAGGGATATATAATTAAATTATAAATACAACGGCTAATAACGGTTACGGTTTTGGATGAAATGATAACACAATTTAATTTACATAAAAATAATATATTTATTTATTTGAATGATTATATATAAAATATATATATATATATATATTTTTTTTTTTTGTAAAAATAGTAAATTAATTGAAAAGTTTGAAGACACGTCAGCGATTAAATAGGTGTATGGTTGAAATTCAGTAAGTCGGTTGGAGATTAAGTTCTAATCATAATTAATTTAGTCTAAGGACATTAAAAAAGAGAAGAAAAAAGTAAGATCAAATTAATTTAAAAATAAAAAAAGAATTATTATTATTATTTATTTACAAAAAAAAAATCTCTATTTAAATTCACTTCAATAATTTTTTTTAATATTATATTTTAGCAAATTTAAACAATATACATTGTGTTAATTTTTTTTAAATACTATTTCTAGATGGATTAATTAAAGTGAAATAATGACCTGAAAATTTCCACTGAATTTTAATTAATTAACTCTATAAAGGTGGTTTGGAAAAACATCTCTTTCACACAAAGCTCTCTTTTTTTTTTTTTTAATCTTTATTTTAAATTATGCCTCCAAGTCACAGAGCATTGTCAATGGCTTGAAAAATAGAGATTCAATATAAAATAAATAAATAAATATAATAATAAGAATTTAAAAAAAAAAAAAAAAAGATATTTCTCACCCTCCCTTTTTTCTTTTTATAAAATTATTATTATTTGTAAAAAAACAAAGATGCTTCCACCAAGGAATATGTCCCTATGGCTGACCTTTTTGGAACACTACTTGTTGTTGGGCATCAAAATTACTATTTTTAACTTATAATTAATTTTATTTCATAGATTCAAATTTCTCATATTTTAATTAACAACAAAACAAATATTCAAATTTCTCAGATTTTAAAGTTGTATTTGATTGGACAGATGAAGGATTACTAAACCTTAACGATGATGTGGAAACATGTGGCTATCAAGACGTAAAAGTAATGTGGGAAATACTAAGGAGATCAGAAGCAGAGCAAATAACTCGTCGACACCAAACAAGACGTAAACACAAACATTTATGGAAGGCTTTCGTATGGTCTAACCCTACTGAAAGTACAATTAAAATGTCAACTTTTTCGACTTTTAGCCATGTTTCATAGGGAGACGAGTCAAGTCCTCTCCCCTTTTAAATGGCTACAAAAATGTATCCCTCGAGTTTTAGGCCAATTTGGGTCTAAAATGAAGCGAAGAGTTGTAAATAGAAATAATAATTGCTTCTAAAATGTTATTCGGGGAAATTCAATTACATTGGCTTGTTGTAAGATGGTGAGATATTGACAAATAGTTTAATATGGCCCTAACACTCGTTTTCTTTCCCATATATCATAAGATAAGAATGATATATTAAAAAAGACCTAAAAAAATGAGCAATAAATATTCTTAGTAATATAGTTTTAGGTAATAAATGAAATATTATTTTATATTAATAAATGTAAATATAGTTAAAATGAAAATTTTATTGATATACACAATAATATGAAGAAAATACGAGGAATTTTTAGAAAGTAAATAATAATATATCGATATATTATTGGTATACTTCATATTAATAAAAAAAAAAAAACACGAGAAAATAAAAAAATTACAAAAAAAAAAAAAATTGCTTTTATTTTTTTAAAATATGAAAATATTTTAAAGAAAAAAAAAACAAAACTCAGTTTATGCGACATTAAAATATAATAAATGTTATAGTTTAAATAATTATGAAGAAAATTATTATATATATATCCAATTAATTATTCAACAAAAAGGGGGAAAAAAAGAACACCCGCGTTAATTTCTCTTCTATTTCCTTCGTTGAACATTCAGCGGGAATTCGCCGTATGAGCTACGAGAAAATACAGTAATGGAGACGGAGAAGAAAGAGATGACCAGTAAAGCTTCGCCTCCCGTATCGATTGCAGAGGCGTTCTTCGTCCACCTGATCTGCGGCCTAGGGCTAGCCCTAGCCTTCTTGATTGCTCGTCATGTCTACTCCGCCGATCTCATCTCCGATCCTTCTCGTACTCTCTTCTTGATTTTGGTACTTTCTCTCTCAATTCGTCTAAATTTCATACTTCGTCATTCGCAGGTTTTCATTTTCGAATCCACTTCCTGCATTTTGAGTGATTCTTCTTCTTTCTCCCTGTTCAGATTGTTGAGTGTCCGATTGTGATCCTTCTTTACAGCCGGTATCGTACGGACCGAGAGCAATGCTCGGTATAGTTGGCTCTCTTAGCTTGTTTCACCTTATTCTATTTGTTCGTGAGAGAATGTATTGCTTGTTTTGAAATCAGATAATGAATTTAGAATACTTGGACTGTGTTCTATACGAATTTGCAGTACTTGAAAGCTATGGCGCGAGGCATACTTGGACTCCTTGCTGGTTAGTTGGAGAAAATTTGTTTTATTTGCCTGCTTCTTTTGATTTTCATTCGTTTAGTTAGCTATGAATGTTTTGATGTTGTTCTCCATCTGTTCTTTTAATTAAGTATGTTGAGGATTGAAATTTTGTATCCGAAAATAGTACAGATGTTAAATTCATGAACCGCTTTTCTCACAATCGGTATAGCTCAAATTTGATATGAAATGAGACTTCAAATTTGATGACGTGAGTTTCTCAATGTGTCCACGAGGAAGGATTCTAATTTTTGGAGCCAATTTTGTTTTCATGTCCCTAGTCTTTAGTGACTACCATGCCTTTTCTTTTTTCCCCTTGTTCGTAGTGATATATGGTTGCTTGGTTCTTCTCGCGGAACTTGTCATAATCGGATCAATGTGGCCTAATTATGCAGGTGCTATTATTAATGCTTTTGGAGCAATAGTTCTTGGCGCTCCTATTGGTGCTCAGTACGTGAATAAGTGATTGAAAATCTATATCTTTCATCTCTAATGGATTGCAAATATTGAATTTTATGGTTCGAATGGAAATTTTATACCAGAACTTGTCCAACGAATAAATCAAGATCTGCTCTCAGTATCGGCTGGTATTTTATCACCATTTATGGGAACATTACTTTTCCTTTTAACTTCAATTCAAATTGTGAATATTTTGAGTGGAATTTTACTTGGGGAGATTAATTAACAGTAGCACCCTTAATCATGTTTGAGTGTTTTATAATTATGAACATTGATGTTCCACACATTTAAACTTTCTCGCGGCCAAGTGTTAATGGTCATTGATAATACATTTGATAATACTGTATGTGTTTTCGTGTAATATCTGAATACTTCTCCTTGGCACAGATACTTATTGAAGACCCTTAACTGGTCACTTGTGATGTCATCGTTCGGTGTAAGTAAGGAACGATTTCAATATATATTGTTTCAAATTCTTCCACCTTTCCGAAGCTTGTAGTGTTGTCATTGGCCGTTGTCTAGCATCCATATGAGATGGATAGTGTTGTCATTGGATGTTTTGGTTTCAGTTTATTTTGTTATAGTTGTAGACTTCGAAATTAGTTAAGCCTATTATGGATTAAGGGAAGTTCTTATATTTAGATACTATTTTCAGTTTGCTTTGTGATGCAATTCTCTTTGTATTAAAGTTTCAGGGTAGAAGTTGTGCTGTGCTAGAAACCAAATTGCTTCATAACTTCCCCTTTTCGTATAGGATAGTCCTTTAATATTGGTGGTGGTTTTTGCTGGTCTTGTAGGTCGTGCCTTCAGCTTGTGTCTTTGGTTCATCATGGATGGATTGGCAGCGCCTATTTGCTTACACAAAGTAAGCCTCCTGTCGCATTATCTCTATTTTCTCTCTTTCTGTGTTCATTTAATATATCTACGTGACGTGGGTGCATTAATCTACTTGCAAAATGTTTAGTTTATGACAATAAGGTAAACGCAAACTCTGAATATAAAGTAGTGATTGCTGTTCAATTGCAGGCCAAATGGAACTATTGATCATATGATATGCATTCCAGCACATGGGGCCATTATTGGAGCCTGGTTTGGCGCATGGCCCATGCCACTTGATTGGGAAAGGCCATGGCAGGTACTTGGTTTTCATCCTGCACTTATATTTTCCCAATAAAACTTGGGCTGTGTATGTCAAACCTCAATGGCACTCAATAATGTCAATTAACAGTCTCTAGTTTGAACTAAGAAATATTACATGATTTTTTAGGCATCCAAAGAAAAAAGAGTGAACTAGTCCAACTTATCTCTAGGTCGTGAATTTAGCCATAGAAAGCTATTTGATGGTGCTTAATTTTTCCTTGTTCTATTCATGATTTCTAGGCATCTAAAGAAAAAAGAATGAGTCGAGTTTACTTACCTCTAACTTGTGAACCTGCACCCAAAATTTTCGGGACCTTTTACGTACCTATGGTGTTATCTCGAATTTGAATAAAATTTCAGGATTTGGTATCAATATATGTCTAAATATTTCCAATATAGTTCCTTTAACCAATTTCCCATCTAATGGTCATCACTTCGAAGCTCGAAGGTCTTGGTCTTTTGTCACATCTGTGTGAACTCTACTAAATACAGACTCCTTCAATATGCAGGAATGGCCAATTTGTGTGAGTTACGGGGCAGTAATCGGGTACTCAATCGCAATGGTAGCATCCTTGGCCTTCTCACATGCGCGGAGTGGTTTGCAGCATGTGAAAAGAGACTAACAATCAAGTATTTTGTTATAACTAGATTATCAAGTTTTCCCTCAATATCTTCATTGTGGGGTTTCTTAATGTTCATCTTTTACGCCTACAATGGCACGACACTCTTTTTCAAAAGTTTTCACTATTCATTTTCTTTTTTATATCCACCCACACACAAGCTGTTTCTTTGTAGCCTGTTTAATTGCATGAAAATCCCCCTTTTTCCTCGCTTCCACTGTGGACGGGACGTCATCTTGTGAATTGTCTCTCTGTATGTGGTTACTAAATTTTGCAGTTTGTACACTGATCTCGAAGGCCTTTTCCCTGCTGCGTCACCACTCACCGAAAGGGAGTACGGTTGGTTCCCGTATAAAATAATTCTCGTCCATCCCCACCACAAAAAAGTGGATAAGGAGAGAAGTAGGGGAGAAAAAGATATCCATTGGATGCGAGGAAGAAAAAGACATTCGATAAGAACCATTGCAGCTTGCGAGGAACCACCGCCCCCAGCTGCTTAGACTTTGTGAGTGGACTCCTCAAATTCTTCTAATTACATTATTATTGTTATTTTTTTATAAGAATTTTCCTGAACCAGAACTTTAGAATCTCCACTTGTTGAATTTTCCTGGCCTACCCCACTAATCTTGGTTTTGCCAGCTAAGTTATTAAATTTTCAAGCTAGATATACGTTTGAGTAAGACTCTTGGAAATTCGGATTCACCTTTTTACCCAGTTGACCATTTGCTTCTTAGGTAAAATTTTTTGAGTTTGTTTCATCCTTGAGCTTTCGAAATGCCAAGACAAGGGATAGAGAGAAGTTTAACTGTTTAGCTGATATAAGTATTTTATACATTAACCATCCTCCTGCTAATATTTACAAAAGTTGACAGAGAAGATAGGGGTAGATGTCAGGATAGTTCCCCCCTCCATCTTTGTTTTTTCCTGTTTTCCAGTAGAAACCTGATTTATGGGTTTTAACTACACCTATTAAGAAGTTGAACCAAAAACAAAGGTTATCTAGCACGATCATCAGAATCGTCGAACAAGTTGAAAAAAAACCGAGGTAAAGAAGCTATTCTTGGAAGATTAAGCAGCAGCTCACCCACCGAATCGTTCCTTGACATGGCTATGTGCTTGCTCGATTCAAAGCCATTATGGACAGGGAAGCTTTCTTCATTCTTGATTTCATGTTCCAGCGTAGAAATCGAGTTGATGTTGCCACTGGCGACATTGAGGCTATTGCCAGCTTTGGCTTGCGAGGCCTTAGCCATACAAGAATCCTTCTGTAGAAGACTGCACAGGGAGTTTACCCTGGACATGATGGTCTGTTCATCGGCGTCAGATGCATGTTGAGAATCACCAAATAGATACTGTGTAATCCCCTCTAGAGTCTCTCTGCTTTGTTGATTATCTTCAGAAAACATGGGTAAGCAGTGTTCAATATGACTGACAAAATCGCTAACGGACATGGATGGACGAATTCCAGGAACCAGGACTTGGTCCCATTTGTTGAACAGCCTTGAACTTTCCGATCCATCATTTCCCAATTCTTCGTTCATTGTGTGAGCTTCCATTCCTAAAATGTATATTTGACAAGTCAGAAACATTTTCAGATCCAAGGATAAAGGATTCTTGTACGGGGAGGGAAATTCTTTAGGTGTATCTATTGACTCTTCAAGTTCAAGTGGTGAAAGATCTTTATGTTCTTAATTGATTATGCCCATAATTTCAGCCGTCAGTTGAAGATTTTTACCTGAGTTAGGTGATGGAGATTGCTCAGAATATTCTTCAGAAGTACCAGCACGACACTCGTGTTCTTTAATTGACGAAGGGGATTGAGTTCCAGATGTTGACACCATACCTAAACTAAAGAAAGTAGGTCCTTCCTCACTCTTCAAACCAATTCCTTCTTTGGATTCATTTGGACTATTGGTTTTAAAATATGGACATTCTAACACGATCTCTGGTTGTTGGCTTAAAAAGTTGAGACGAGGATCGCAACGCACGAGCTTCTCAAAGTGCTTGTTTAAAAAGCCTTGTGAACATTGCAGGAAATGTTTTCTGCAAAGTAAATGAAACAGAATTTTAGTCTACCAGACCAAAATATATATCAGAGTCTAGCTGAGTTAAGCAGTCTCTTTCTGTGGTTTTCATACTCAATTATAACTAGAATAAATGCACCAGCTACAAGGACTGCTGGATACTCAAATCAGGTACCTGTGCCTGCTTGCTTCTCCCCCAGTAAAGTCGGCTGTTGCTTGCCATAAAGTATGCTTCTTAGGTTGTGGATTTATTTCCCTAAAGAAAAGGGGCTGTCTCGCCAGCTGAAAGAAACAACGGTAAATCATCATATTACTAAGAACAGGGTTCATGTTCCACAACTTGGCTACAAAAATGTAACTCACCACTACATCCAAAGTTCCTAGACCATCCTCAGTGTAATTCGCCTTGAGAGCGACGATATCGGACCATTGAATTTCTATCTTGTTCTTAAGATTCCCATCAAGAAGCTCCCAAACCAACTTATGCTTTGCAAAGTAACACTTCGCCACTAGATCACCCTCGTACCTTGATTTATACTGCAAAGCAACACAACTAACATTTTCTCAACATCATTCAAAAACAAAAGGAAACCCAAAACAATTCCATTCCGTTCCTCCAAACCCTATTTGATTTACAAGAAATCTCGCAACGAAAAAGATGCGAGTACCTCCCAAGAACCAATCTTAAGAATTAATGCAGGGAAGTTTGAAGCCTTGAGCTTGTCTGCAGTACTAAAAGCAGCAGCATTAGCTCCCCTCTGGTCCTTCTGGTCCTTGTTCATAGTCGCTAATTTAGCAGTTTCCTGAGACAGTTTTGCTTGGATCAAATCCAATAAGGACGGACTCTTTTTGAGACTCAAACCCAACGGGCTTGGCTCATCTAGAGGATTGTACGGACTCGACGACACAGAAAACGCATTGGCTTCTGACGTCCATCTCTGCACGTTCAAAAAATTAAATTCAGAAAAATAAAACCCTATCTCCAAGTTCATAAGAAGAAGCACGAATATCATCACAGAGTAATATACTAATCTCATGTAGGTACTCTGTTCCGCTACCGCCACAAGAAAACCAGAAAGAAACACATATTCTAAGAACAAATCTATGATTGATGAGAGAGGTATAACAAAGGCTAATCGATTTGAATCCTTCCGAAGTGGCGTTTGGATTGGGGAAAATTTTGTGGACGAATGAGCTCCACCATTTCGGAACATTTCTAGCTAATTCAGTTCGGTCTCATACCAAACAACTTCAGAAATCAAGTAAACGAACCAAATCCAGATCGATTTCAATCAAATCATAGAGGTGAAAAAGGAAGACAGAGCGAATACCTCGGATTTGGATCGCTTGTGAAATTGATCGAGAAGGTCCTCCAAAGAATCTTCAACCTCCTTCTTCAGCCTCTTCGTCCCCGGAATCTTGTCCGTCCCCGAATTCATGAGCTGAACCATCAAGCCTTCAGAGAAAGAGAACAAAATCAAATACACCGATTCTTCAAAGGAACTCCGTCAGAACCGAATCGTTCTCTCTGAACCAGCCACAGCGAGGCAGTCGGAAAAGAAAGGAAATCTCCGCCGGAGAAGAAGACCGATTCACAAAATTAGAGAGACGTTTTCTGTTGGTTTTTTGTTTGTAGAAGTTAACGGCTACGTTCGATTTCAACTCGGTGGAGGAAGAAGCGATATTGCCCACGTTCAAACTTATACAGCTTTTGCAGACGACAAAGTCAATTTACCAAATTACCCCCCTTCTCCTTCCACGTCAGCCGCCGTTCCAGTCCATTCCAGACTGCCCCGACTGGCTTTGGTTTAGGAACTCCCGCTGACTGTGAAAAGCACTCCTATCCATTCATACTGTGAATATTATTATTATTTTAAATATAACTCGTGGGGGATATTATATTAATTAATTTGGGATTTTATAACTTCGATGAAAAGGTAAAAAATTAAAAAATAAGAAAATTTGATGAGAATATTCTACCGCTACACTAATATAATATCGGCTTCCTTTATTTAGATTGATATATTGTTAATTGATGTATTTTTTTATTTTTTAAAATATTTCTAAAAAAATTATAAATACTAGAAGTTTCCTAAGTTTTGTCTTTGCTATGATAATATTAGAAAATTTTTGGATAATTTTCTGCTGAAATAGCGGCGAGATGAAGACACGCTATAATTTTTGTCGTTTTATTGGAAGTCACGTGCTAGCACGTGAGAAAGACATGGGACCCACCTGACAATGTTCCTCTTGGTAGAGTAGGTGATTTCGCCTTTCCGTTTTTCGACTTGCTGTGATTGGAGGAACTTGAAACGTGTCGAAAACTTCTGGACACGTAAGCGTATTTTTATCCACGTGGTGCCATTCTGGATAACGATGAACCATGGGGCCCACTTGTGGATAAGGTTTGGAACACCAAAGCACAGTATTTTTCTTTTTAATTATTTAAATAGAGCAATTACATTATTTTTATTTTTTTCTTTTTTTTAAAAAAAAGGTAATTTCTTGATTTCCATTTTTCAAAGGATCCACAAAAATTTCGGAGAAATATTCCACGCCCACTCAGCCTCCTTTTTTTTTTTTTTTTCTTTCTTTAAGTTTTAAGATAGGTCTCTTAATTAGCTTTATTTTAATATTGTTTCATTTATTTAATATTATTTATTTTCCAAGTCTATATTATTTAATTATTTCTTGTGTACTAATTTCCCTTGAGATAAACGAAATTACTATGGAAAAGATAACGGAATTAAATATTGATTAGAGGAATTAATAATTCATGGTGGCGTGGAATTAATTAAAAGTTATTAACTTCATATAAATATGCATTAAAAAATTAATTTGAAGGTGTCGTATGAGGCTTGGATATTTTTTTTTTATAAGTTTTATGAATAATAATAAATAAATAAATAAATTTCCGTGGATAATACATTTCATCCAGAGAGAGAATAATAAAAAGTGGAGATTTGATGTATTACTTAACTTTTGACTATTGTATTTACTTTTAACTTATTTAAATTAATTTATTTTAGTTTAATTATTATGAAATAAGGATGGAATCTTTGACCTGAAAAAATGGAATTGTTGACCTTAAAGAGATAGAGATGTAGAAATATTACTATTTTAAGAAGGGAGGAAAAAAAAGGGCAATTGAATGATGAAGTATTAAACAAAATTATTATTATTTCTTAAAATTTCATGGATTACTTTTGAAAGAGTGCATTTAACATTTTGGTCATGTTAATGGTTTCATTTATTTATGGCTTTGGGACTTAAAACCTGTCAAAATTTTAACCCCTCTTTCTTCAACCTAGCTAAAAGATAGTCCAACCGGGTTAAAAGAAGTGGACACTAAATAATCCAACCGGGTTAAAAGAAGGTTAAAAGAAGGTTAAAAGAAGTGGACACTAGATAATCCAACCGGGTTAAAAGAAGTGGACACTAGACGAGGAGGTTGAACTCCAAAAGAGGTGGACACTAGACCAAAGGGGTGCCCTATAAGAATGCTAGGCCCCCATCAGAAAGGGGTAGATTGTGTGACTTGAACCTTCTTTACGAGGGTGTAGAATGCAGTAACCATGGCGGGTGGAGGGCTAGAGCAAGCTACGATGATTTTGAATAATAGGATAAATCCAAAGGGAAAGAAGATAACTAGGGGTCCGATTAGACTTGGGTAAAGATACTAGTAGGCCTAAAAGCTTGAAAGTATGAATCGCTTCATTTGGGTTGAGTTGGGCCGAGCCCATGTGGGCGCGCAGTTCACAGGCCCACAACCCAATTTGCCTTTTTTTTCTTTTAGAGTTTTTAAGTAATTTTTTTTTTTTTTATAGAAAGACATTTAAATAATTGAGCTTACCAACTTCACAATCATTTAATATCTTAAATAGGACAAAAGATAAGACACAAAGGGCCCACAAATTCGAAAGGGCATCTTGAAAGCCTTCTCACATTATTATTAAAACCCAAAGCCATTGTCTTGACCTTATGTACAAAAGTGGATACATCAAGACAGAGCCATTCTTCAATCTCTCCCTATCCAAATTATATGCACAAGCAACCACCACCATTGGATGATGTTGATAGATTAGGGCTCAGTTCTATGAACAAATTATGTTCCTTCACACCAATTTCATTTAAATGTACGGGTTTATATGCGATGAATAATCTCGAATCCCTGCGCCTTCCCATCCCATCCATTCCTCCCACAAATCCCAATCCGGATCCCCCATTCCCCTCATCGGTTCGTCACCCCCTTCGTCGTACGTCTCGATTGGCATTGATATTCCTCTTAAATTGTTCATCACAATCTGTTTCAGACGCAAATATATATGACATTAGTTTTGTATTGTGATTGAACTAACATGAAAATGATATATGCAACAGATAAGTATACCGATTTCAATATTAGATGAACCGATATGGATCTGATCCAAACACTCGATTGACGCCTCGAATTAAAAATACTCCGACAAGAAATCATAATCAATACTAGTTACCGCGTTTGCTGCTCAATTATTTTTATTTTTATTTTTATTTTTAAGAAAACGATTCAAATAATTGATCCGATTATTAATATAATATATGCAATAATGGAAGAGGATAATTAATTAGTTAGGGCTTGGATCACGTACATCGTAGGCTTCATTGATTTGATGAAATTGCACTCCACAATTACTTCCTTTGCATACATCCGGATGATACTGAAAAACCGATAAAATTCAAGGAATCAGATGAGGAAGTCCACAAATCGAGAAAGAATAGAGAGACAGAGAGAGCGAGAGAGAAATCGAACCTGAAGAGCGAGTTGACGGAAGGCTTTTTTGACCTCAGATTCAGAGGCGCCAGGTTGAATCCGAAGAGTCCGGTAAGGATCAGCCATAGAAGAAGAGGAATAAGAAGAATAAGAAGCCCTAACTTGATTCCTCGAACTCCGATGAAGCTTGTTCGCCCGATTTCGTTGGCGAATCCAAGACGAAGAACCAGTCCGGGCAATGAATCCAGCAGCAGTAGAAACAGACGCCATTAACAAGAAGAAGAAGAAGAAGAAGAAGAAGAGCTTCAAAACCAGGATAATCGGAGGCAAAAGCGATGCAAAGATGGATATAATTGGAGGGATCGAGAAAGGGGAAGAGCGAATTAAATAGAAAGGAAGAGGAAGAGGATTTTAGATACGGAGGGTGCGGAGAGGCGAGATCGTCGGTTCTTATCCAGTGAGTTAATTTTAGAGAGAGAGAGAGAAGATGACGTGTCCCCTGAAGATGGCGTAGAGGAGAGAGAATGGTGTTCTTATCTCTTATCTTTGTTTCTATTATTGGTCCTACTCATCCCCAACTCACCTTTTCGTATTTACTTTTTTCCTTTTCCTATTTTCTTTTGGCATATTCCATTTCAATTCTTCAATTATTCACAATAAAAATTATTATTATTATTATTATTATTATGGATAAAGTCATATAACTCTATTTTTAGGTTGAATAACACCTCCGACTTCAAATTATCCACTATTTTATCTTTTTAAGTTAACTATAATAACTAATATTCTATTTTCGAGTTAAAATCTAAAATTTATCTATTTTTAGAAAATTTTATCTAATTTTAAAAAAATTGGATTAATAGGGATAATGGGAATTTCGCAAAATTAAAATCTAAATTAGAGGGAAATTCAAAGTATCACAATTATTAAATAAATAAATAAAAAGTAGTGGATCAGATAAACCCAATTTGATTTAATATTTTAGAAAATTAGAAGTTGAAATATAACGAAAAAGAGAGGAACTGTAAAACGTGGCGGTCACGAAGACACGTGGCGTACGTCGCGTCTTTTAATGATCTGAAAGGAAAGGGCCAGACACGTCATTGCGCATTCAAATCTGGTGCTCTGTCAGACTCAGAAAAAAAAAAAAAAAGATAATTATTTAATATAAAAGAAAAAGGAAAATAAGGTAACCGAAGTTTTCAAAAATGGTAAAATAATTATTTAATTAATCATATAATAGAACAAAATATTGTAGATATTTGTTTATTTGAACTAAAAAAAAAAAACATGGGACAAGTTGCATTAAATTTTTAAAAACATTATTTAAATTTGGAAAACCTATCTGTTAGAAGATATTTAAATGAAATAGAAAGGTTGAAATGGAGTGTCAAAGTCAACAAGTCAAGTTGGAGTTGGCAATTCGAAAATTAGATAGTTATTTCGTGGTAATGACATTTAAATTGGATATATTCAAACGTCGACGTTTTGGAGATTTTTATTTTTTATTATTTTTCTATTTATTCGGCCTCAAAATTAGTGGTCAATTCTTCTACTTAAATTATATGCTATTTTTTAGCCTATAACATTATTTTCTTTAATATGCTAACACGGTTCATCAAAGTATGAATTTTACATGGTTGACTAGTTTGCTGGGTTAGAACAAATATTGCATAATTGTTGTTTTAGTGGTGGAAGAGTGTGATGGTAAGATTAAGATTGAGTCAGTTATAAACGCCTATTAATTAAAAAATATGAAATATAAAATTATTACAAACTTGAGATTATATATATAAATAAAGGGATTGCATTAAAAGAAGCACCACACGTTGAATCCAAAAGCAAAAAAGGTCAGAGCTTGAACAAGCCTTTTACATTATTCCATGGAAAACAGTGAAACCCCATAAGAACTCACAACGAAAAGATCAAAAGAAGTAGAAACAGGAAGAGATGAGCAGCAAACTAAGCTTAGACACAAACGAATTGGAAGCTGCGTTCTTGTTCGTGGCCCTCCCCGGGCGGCGGTTGATGATGGAGCCGCCCGCGCCGACGGACCTTCCCCCTCCTCTAGCCCGTAAAACCACCCATCCCGCCACCGTCAAATTCTGTTCCCCGCCGCTGTAGCCGCCACCCGGAGGGGTCACAAGAGGAAGAGAGTTGATTGAGTGATTGGAATTGGAAGGTAGAGAAGAAGCATTGGGAAGTTGAAAGAACAATGAGAGGGAGATGAGGAGGCAGGCGTATGCTCCCATCTTTTTCTTCGCTGAAGGATAGCCGTAAGCAGCATATAAAAGAGAGCACACCAATATTCTGTTCATATTGTTATTATATTCTTCCCAATGCTTTTCTGAGTTGTACTTCAACAAAAGGGCTCACACTCACAAACAACTTATTATTCAATTTCTCTTTCTATTAGGATGATTTTTACCCAATGAATTTTTTCTACAAAAAAATAAAAAATAAATCGATAAATAAATGTGAAGGGAGATTTGAATGTCTTACCTAAAAGAAAAGAAATTTTAGTTTAACAAGTATACTGCTAAGTGTAGTGTGATGAAGTGTTGATCCCAATGATATGCTTTACTTCCATGATTTTGATTTTTTTTATTTTAAATGTTGGATGAGAAATTTGGATACTCTAAATCCCTTTTTAATTGTATATTAGAACACTTGGCTAGTAGTCTAAATCCTTAATGGCTTCTCAATTATGAACCATAAATTCAGAATGCCATTTTCAAATTTCTGATTATCATTCCTTCATTTGGTTGATTTATGCAAGAAGACAGCAAAGGGACAATGTCTTGAACGCAAAATTCAACCAATTCGGATAGAAAAATCATTATGTTTCCATCTTTCCTTTACGTATGGCGTTATGGATTTCCCCCCAACCATCGATCCATTGGTCGACGCACGCCCACACACACACAACTCTCCATTCAATTGGGCGCCGCCCACATTCGCCATTTTGGTCATTCTCAAACCCCAATACTTCCCGAGTGGAGCAAATGGGGAGGCCATTTTTAGATGTTTCTGTCAATGGCGATTTGTGGGGAGTAATTGCAGTCGTCGCCAAGCGTGGATGAGGAAATCCCAAGTGATGAAGCAAATGTTGTTGTGGTGTCGCCATCATTTAGATATCTCTTCAATCGATTCAAGTCATCGGCAGCATCGAGCATTGTGGGTCTCGTGGATGGAGATTGTTGAGTGCAGAGCAAACCCAATTCGATTAGCTCTCGGATTGCCACTTCCCACATTTTCTTCATTTCAGGTGATTGATCTCTCGAATCTCTCTGTAGAGAAGAATCCACTACCTTTTCTACTCTGCTGTAGTAATGACTCTTCACCCACTTATGTAGATTAAGCCCTTCAACGAACATGTCGTCTATTGGTCTTTTTCTTGTCACCATTTCCAAAACTAGAACTCCGAAGCTGTAAACGTCTCCTTCCATGGATGCTGATGAACCAAATCCGTACTCTGCGTCGAGCATAGAGGTAACATGAATAATGCACTTGACGTGTTTGATAAAAGTCCTAAATGAAAAATGGGAAAATGGAAGATTGTGGTTTTGATATCTCTCTTTCTTTCACATTTTAAATCGTTGTGAATACATTCAATGATCAAATTTGTCATAGTTTCATAGCTTATCAACCTCAAACTTTTAGGCCTAGGAGAGGATCTTAAGCTAAAACTCTGGGGATGATTATGGAGATGGAGAAGCAGTAGCTTTCTCGACTCTGCTAACTTACTTGACCCTCTTGATTATAATGAGCTTGGTATGTAGATGAACTGAAAATGAAATTTTTGGGTTCTTAAAAGCAGAGAATGATACCTGGTGCTATATATCCAATTGATCCAGTGAACATGCTTGCAGTTGACTTTCCCATGTTTTCAGCAGCTGCACCACTTCCAATTCCAGGAGTCATCAGCCTCGAGATTCCGAAGTCGGAAACTAGAGCTGTCATGTCGTCTTTCAGAAGAACATTGCTCGGCTTTAGATCACAGTGTATGACTCTGACTGGAGAGTGGTGGTGAAGGTATGCCATTCCTTCAGCTATATCACTGCATATATTAACCCTCTGGATAAGGCTTAAATCTGAAGAACCAGAAGCCAAGCTGGCTGGTGAATGTTGATATAGATGCCTATCCAAGCTTCCATTTTCCATATATGGTAGAACTAGAGCTTTAAAATCTGGTACACTACAAGCTGTTATTATTCTTATAAGGTTTCTATGGCGAATTCGCTTCAAAACTTCACATTCTCTGTTAAAGCTCTTTGTGGAATTTCCAGATTGCGTGTGTAAAACCTTAACAGCTACTGTTGTTCTATCTGGAAGAACGCCTCGGAAGACTCGTCCATAGCTGCCTGAACCAATTAGTCTCTGTTCATCAAAACCTCCTGTGGCTTCTGATAGTTGCCTGCTTGTTATTCTTGGAAAATTGTGTGTAAAATCTGGCATCTTGGATCTCCTTGATGACTCACTATTTCGTACTGAAATAATCGCTCTTAGATGTAGCCAAGCAATCCCACAGCATAGTGTTGTTAAGAATGATGATATGCATATGATTAAGATGAATATAGTCAAGAATAGAGGTGACTGAAACCGATTTCTCTCGCCAGAACAGCTTCGTATTCCAGGAATTGTTCCACAAAGTAGTGGATTGTTCATAAATGACAAGGGTGTAGATGATTTGAAAAAACCCTCTCTTGGAATCATTCCTTCGAAGTTATTGAATGAAAGATTCAGATAGGCGAGGGATTGGAGCTTACCAAGACTGGCTGGAATCATGCCTGACATTTTGTTTTTTGAAATATCAAATGATTCAAGGTTCTCAAGTTCACCTAAGGAATCTGGAAGGTGACCTTGGAGGGAATTCATTGAAAAATTTATAAACCTCAGTGCAATACAACTTGATATCTGAGGGAAGATGCTTCCGGTGAGGTTATTGGACGAAAAGTCGATCTCTTGAACATTTTTCAGCTTGCTAAGCTCAATGGGCAAAATTCCTTGAAGATTGTTATGAGAAAGGTTAATAAAAATTCTTATCTCTTGCAAGCCTATTATCTCTTGAGGAATGCTTCCTGACAACATGTTGAAGGATAAGTCCAGCTTATAAAGACCTGTGCACTTTCCCAATGCTGAAGGTATTGTTCCTGACAAGAAGTTGTTGTTGAGAAACAAATAGTTCATCTGAGACAAGTTTCCAATACTTTCTGGGATTTCACCTGAAAGTTGGTTGTGAGATAGATCCAACAAACCAAGATGTTGTATCTCGCCTAATGCTTCTGGAATGCCTGAAGTAAAGAGGTTATGTGATAAGAACAGCTGCTCCAATTTAGACAACTTGCTTATATCTGCTGGAATTGTTCCATTAAGTAGATTTGATGTCAAATTCAGCCCTGCAAGTTTGGAAAGCTGCGCCAAACTTGGAGGGATTGATCCAAATATCTGGTTTTCCTGCAAAGACAAAACTGAAAAATTGACTCCCAGATAGCCAATAGAATCAGGCAGCCTCCCTCCAAGCCCCATC